AGTGGTAGAAGACTTCGGCGTTGTTACTGTCGCGAGGATTTTCTTCGTCCATGGGCACGTCGACGGAGCAGTACGGGAGAGGTCCGACTTCTTCCGATGCATTGTCAACGTTCTGTTCATCCCAGTCTGCTTCGTCCGCTGCTGACGCGAAGGCTCGGTCACCACGAAATCCACCTGTGAGGTCCCGATTCTCGTGCAAGTTGGCGAGGTACGTCTGAAGGGTGAGTCGCTCGTAGAAGATCACATCACGTGCTGCTACTATTTCCTTTGAGTGGACATCGAAGATTCTCCACGCGTTGTATTTTTTCTCGATGCCGAGGTGTAGTCCCCACTGTGCCCGTTGCGAAAATCTTCCCGCTCGTGCTTCTGGGGATCGGTACTGTACCATGCACCCGAAAACTCGTAACATTTTTGTGCTGCCCTGTTTCCCTGTCCACAGCAGATGCGGTGATGCGTTGTTTAGGAGTGACGACGACGACAGCAAGTTGTGCAGCATGACAGCATGGTCCATTGCTGCTGGCCACTGGTGGTTGGGTAGCCGCATGCCACGTAGCAGCTTGCGCATGCTATTCTGCAGAGTCCTGTTCATTCTTTCTGCCACACCTTGCTGCTGATGGGCCTAGGGAAGGGAGAGGAGTTGCTTGATCCCCCTTTCCGCCAGGTACTGCTTGAAGCACTGAGAGGTGTATTCTCCTCCTCCATCTGACTGGAAGCTTTTCAGCTGCGTTCCTGATTCCCTCTCTGCTACCGGTAGCCAAGCGGCGAACGCTGCGAGAGCCATGTCGCGACTGGGTAGGTTTCGATGCCAGACGTATCGAGTGGCGGCGTCGATGAAGGTGATCGTGTAATTGTAGGTGACTTGTCCTGGTTCTCGATTTAAAAGGATGTCGCTGTATACTTTTTTCGAGTGGTGCGTATGCAGGTGCGCTCGGGTTGTGGTGAGAGGAAAACGGTCGATGTGGTAAGTCGGCTTCGGGGCATATGAGGCAAGTTCCTCGTGCCCGTTGAAGTTCTCTGCCGTCGGGTAGAAGTAGTGAATCTTTGTCTAGAACTCCTGCTCGTATTGTGTTGTTTAACACTGTATTGCTTGGATGTCCTGTGCGTGCGTGCCAGATGTCTTCAGGAGCGCGATGTCCGGGTGAGCGTTGATATGCGTCAGAGTTGGAGTAAATGCTGGCGACGACATTGGCGCTTCTGTGGACTTCTCGTTGAGTCCGGTTCAGCAGCTGTGCGAGTGTTGGTGGTGCTTCGTCGATGATGACTGGTGCCGTTGTTCCTGCTGCTGCCGATGTTGTCTCTGCTGCTGCTGATGTTGTCTCTGCTGCTGCCGTTGTTGTCTCTGCTGCTGTCGTTTGTTGAATCGTTGCTAATGCTCGTGTTCGTTTTGCTTCAGGGATGGTGTGCGAGTACCAGAAACCTCCCGGGCTGAAGTTGGGATCGAGATCCGGGGGGTGTGTCCAGTCGGCGAAGTTGACGATGGCGTCGCTGTCTACAGTGCCTAGGTCGGGGACGAAATCGAGGACGAAGACGTTGTTCTTCAGAACTGCTTTTCCGATGTAGAGGCCGCCCTTCCCGTGGTACAGTTTAAACTCCTGGGTGGTGCTGTCGGCTTTTAAGTGAATCCCTTTCGCCATCAGTTGGCTAACGCTCAGTAGGTTATAACCGAGTCCTTCTGCGATGAGTACCTTTGACATGTGCAGTATGACGTTTGTTTCTCTTGACTGAAGCTGTACCACTCCTTGTCGTCGTGTGCGCAGGTTCTGATTGTTGGCGACCGTGATGACTACTTCTCGCTGGAGTCGATGTTCGCGTTGAACGAAGCGCCCGGAGGAGCACATGTGTTGTCCGCAGCAATTGTCCAAGAACCAAGTGTCTTGCCCGGACGGTTCGCTTTGAGCGATGGCGGCGTACGTCGGATTCGGCTGGAGTGACTCGCGGCGAGGCGTTCTGTTGTCGAGCTCTTCTTCCGGTGAGTAGTGCGGTGGTGATTCGGTTGTACACGAGTCGGTTATCTTCACCATGCAGTTGACTATGTTTCTTGCTCCTTGTGCAGGTTGTCCAGGTGAAGTCGTTGAAGCTTGAATTGTGGTCGTCGCATTTGCTTGCGTTGAAGCAACTTGGGAGCTTGAAGGCCGGAGTTGTCGCTGTGGTGTTGTCTGACGAGACGGGCAATGCGTGCGAGGATGGCCCGAAGTCTTGCAGATGTGGCAGAACGGAGGTACTGTCTTTACTTGTTGCTGTTGTCGATTGTTGTTGCTGTTGTATCGTCGCTGAGTGTGAAACGCAAACTCCGGTGCTAATGCTTTCTTCTTGTGTCTTTCGTCTTGCAGGTCCATGTCCTGCTGCTCAGCATGAATTTTGGCGCAGAGTGCCGCTTCGGAGATCCTCCCGTGTGCTCGTAATATGGCGCGAGTGGAGCGCCAGTGGGGGCCGAGACCGCCGATGACCACCGTGACAAAGGCGTCTTCTGAAATCGACCCGCCGCATCGAAGAAGCTTGTCGCGCAGTTTGCGGCAGCGGCTGATATAAGCCATGCCTTTCTCGCCTGGTTTCATTTCAATCGTTGTCAGCTGCGCCATTAACCTGCTTTGATTTACGCTGTCTGTTGCTTGATACAGGTTCTTCAGGTGGTTGTACGCGAGCTCCGCGGAGTTGCCGTAGCCTCGGTAAGTCCTGATGTTCTGCTGCTGGGTTGGGGTGATGTTTCTTAGCAGTATCGTGTACGCCATCATTGATTGATAGGTGTACTGCTGCTTCTCATATTGCGTCCCGTTTGTTGGATATGGCAGGGACCCGTCGAAGAAACCAAGAATCTGTGCTCCTTCCATCATCAGTTCGAACTCGAACGACCAGGCGAAGAAGTCTTTGCCGTCGAAAGGCTTTGTCATTTGCAGTTTTAGGACATGCGCGAATTGCGATTGAACTTGTAACGCATCCAATGCCCTTTCTTGTCCCGGTGGAGGTTGCGGTTGCGGCATGAAGCTGACGGAGCCACGTTGGGGCTCGTACGACGCAAAGGTAGGCTGCTGTTGTTGTTGTTGAATCCCGCGTGCGTAGGATGAGCCATCGAGGCTCATGGGAGTCACGTTGTTGTTGTTGCTGTTGTTTGACTGCGCAGGTACTCCTTGCTGGTGCTGCTCGTAGAAGGACATGAAGGAGAAAAACTTCTCCATCATGCTTGGATCGAAGCCTGCGGGAGTTTCCGTAGACCCAGCTGCTGGTCTCGTGGTAGTTCCTTCCTCTGTCTGTAGGCTAGAGACAGGAGGTGGAGTGGGAGTAGTGCAAGGAGAGCCGTTGGAGGAGCTCCTCTCCTTCATTGCAGACATGTCTTCTTGTATTTGAGTGTTTAAAAGGAAAGTGACTTTAAATTCTAACTGCTCTCATACCATGTTGGGCTGAGGTGCCCTAGGATCTTTGTAGAGCTTAAAGTCTGAGTAGGATTGTAATAGCGGAAGCGTTGAATAAAGGATGCTTGAACCACCTTGCGCTAGTATGTGAGGGCAAAGTAAGTTGATTAAACAAGCAAATACAAATGCTTATATAAGAGTACAAGGAATACGAATAGATAAGTTTAAACCGTTTTACTGTTGCGATTCGATACAGTGCGACTCGGGCAACTGCTCAATTTCGAGTCAGTTGTGTGTCCTTGCTGTCGCGCTGTATTTGTCAAGTCAAAGGTCGCTGACCTTTGACCTTCGCGTAACCTCCAGGCGGTTACCTCAACCTCCGAGGGTTGACTCGCGATGCTTCGATTCGGACTGCTTCGCTAGTGTCCTGAGTTTCGACACGACAGAGGCGCTTAAGGCTAATTATTCCCAACAGTTTTCACCGTATCAAGTGCCAGAATTGCCCACTCGAATTTGCCACGTGGCAGATTCCAGTGGGCGGTCACGTTATCCTCGTATATGAATTTTTTCGAAAGTGTGTAACACTTTCTAAAAATGTGTATTGTGAAAGCGCAGCTGACTGTAGCGCAGCTAGGCAACCGCGAAATACCATTAGCCGAGTATATAACGAGGGTTGGAGGCCATTTGGCCTCCACCCACGTCTTCATTTCGGAACTTTGCAGTTCCACTCCATTCTCGTCCAACTGCCGGGAGCCGTTCCCGTTTCTCTCTCGGTCCTCACTCTTACCTCACCATAAAATAATAGGCATTAAGTAGTGCTGAAATGTCACCTTTAATTTACGGATACGTTACCGCATAGACATCACGCAACTCCCGCAACGACACTGCACCACGTCTACGGAAACATAGTCTCGCTCACCTACTAACTGTTACAGCAGGAATGGGCGATCTCAGGGTGGCGGAGAATTTGAACGGGCACGCCTTAGGCAAAATCGCCACTGGCTCTTGCCTAGTGACGAAATCGCCACGGGCGCGCCTAAGGACGAAATCGCCGTTGGCGCAACCCAGGACAAAATCGCCAGTTGCGCATCCCAGGACAAAATCGCCTGCCACAGGACGAATTTGCCGCTGCGCACCCCAGGACGAAATGGCGCGCCCCAGGACGAAATCGCCCCTGGCGCACCCCAGGACGAGATCGCCACTGGCGCACCCCAGGACGAGATCGCCACTGGCGCACCCCAGGACGAAATCGCCACAGGCGCACCCCATGACGAAATGGCGTGCCCCAGGACGAAATCTCCCCTGGCGCAACCCAGGACGAAATGGCGCGCCCCAGGACAAAATCGCCAAGGGCGCGCCAGAGGACGAAATGGCGCGCCACAAGACGAAAGCGCCACAGGCGCGCCCAAGACGCAGGCGCGCCTGAAACTACAAGGGCGCCCCTGCAGTAACAACTACTCTATCGCTAAACAAGTATGTGTTGAAATTCGTTTTTGCATATGCTTCCCGTTTCTATTTTCTTTTATTTGGCTTTTGATTATTATGCAGTGAACGGGGAGCGAGGCGATTGATTGGCATAAAGGTCACCATTGTTTACACCCTCGCAAGGACGACCGTCTCGACACCCACAACGTTTCCAAAGGAGAAAGGGACTTAGTGTCCCGTTTGTGGCCAGAGGGCCGTTCCCGAGGGGGAAAAGGGACCGAGGGTCCCGTTGCTGGCCAGAGGGCCGTTCCCCAGGGAGGAAAGGGACCGAGGGTCCAGTTGCTGGCCAGAGGGCCGTTCCCCAGGGGGGAAAGGGACCGAGGGTCCCGTTGCTGGCCAGAGGGCCGTTCCCCAGGGGGGAAAGGGACCGAGGGTCCCGTTGCTGGCCAGAAGGCCGTTCCTGAAGGGGGAAAGCGACCGAGGGTCCCGTTGCTGGCCAGAGGGCCGTTCCCCAGGGGGGAAAGGGACTGAGGGTCTCGTTGCTGGCCAGAGGGCCGTTCCCCAGGGGGGAAAGGGACCGAGGGTCCCGTTGCTGGCCAGAGGGCCGTTCCCCAGGGGGGAAAGGGACTGAGGGTCTCGTTGCTGGCCAGAGGGCCGTTCCCCAGGGGGGAAAGGGACCGAGGGTCCCGTTGCTGGCCAGAGGGCCGTTCCCCAGGGGGGAAAAGGACCGAAGGTCCCGTTGCTGGCCAGAGGGCCGTTCCCCAGGGGGGAAAGGGGTCCCGTTGCTGGCCAGAGGGCCGTTCCCCAGGGGGGAAAGGGACCGAGGGTCCCGTTGCTGGCCAGAGGGCCGTTCCCCAGGGGGGAAAAGGACCGAAGGTCCCGTTGCTGGCCAGAGGGCCGTTCCCCAGGGGGGAAAAGAACCGAAGGTCCCGTTGCTGGCCAGAGGGCCTTCTACCAGGGGGGGAAAGGGGCAGAAGGTTCCTAACGTTTAGAGGGTTGTTCCCCACGGAAGGGAGGTTAGTATGACACGTGCTGTGGCCTTTTAATCGAGAATTATAAGAGTTTGGTTGCTGAGCAGAGTCATCATCCATTCGAATGTGTAGATCAATGAAAATAGTGGCAGCAAGAGTTGTTTCGACCATGAGAAAATAGGAACGTGAAAGCGCATTTTCTTATTACTACCGTATGCCGTTTTATGGTCAAGTGAGAGAGGGGGATGAAGAGTTCGTACAGATATTTGGATTGGACGCACACACAATGCGTTGAACATGAAAACACATTGCCCAAACTCTCTCCCATTTGTGTGCGGCCGTTGTTGAGTTGGCCAAGCAAGAACACCATTGGGCCCGGCATGGCCATATAGTATTTTGGAGGTACTAAGATCATTGTTATTGCTGATACCATAGATGGTCAGATTCTCAGACAGTTTTTGACACACCAGGAAATGTTACGGTACTATCTGCTCGACCACATACCGTACCTACGCTACATAACTCTACCTAAGAACTGAAGGGATGAACTAAGCACTAGCCGATGATCGCAGATATTTGTCATGACAACTGTAGGGCAAAGGAAACAAGCGAATGGTACGATGACAGAGCGCGGCTATACAACGAGTTATCGGGTGGGTAAAATTAAATCGTCTCCTGAACAACGATAGGGATGAAACTCCTACGGTAGCGCTTGGATATACTTGACTAGTGTTCATACGTTACTCTTCGTAGCGCAACTCTGGCGCCCCATTCCTCCCAAGCCATCCAGTCTCCTACCTTAGTTGCGTGCGATTCCTCATCATGATGATCGTGCACAAAATATCATGCTTCCATGGCAGTTTTGTCGTCTTGCGTGTTCTAGCAACCACCTGCGAACATGAAAGGCAGCTCACGACAATAAAACTCATTAAGCATCAACGTAGTTGCTGTCCATCTGATAGAAATCACTTGCGTGCAAGTTCGCTTGGTTATCCATCGTCAGCTCATTAGCATCGTCACCAGCTCAAAAACAATTACCACGCACTTCAACCACACCATACTGCAGCACCAAGAACCAGTACACCTACGGTACAAGGGAACAAGCAACCTCCACACACACAACATTCCGAACTCCATCAACACGGCGATCGCAATCACCAACGGCACTCCCCTCAGCACGTCGTCGATACCATCAACTGCAATTACACTCAAGACGTCTTCAACGCTCCTGATAACACATGTCTCAGAAGACCCAATCGTAATGAAACACGTTGCCATTGCAAGCACAGAAAGCAAGCTTTCTCAATATGAATTTTTTCGAAAGTGTGTAACACTTTCTAAAAATGTGTATTGTGAAAGCGCAGCTGACTGTAGCGCAGCTAGGCAACCGCGAAATACCATTAGCCGAGTATATAACGAGGGTTGGAGGCCATTTGGCCTCCACCCACGTCTTCATTTCGGAACTTTGCAGTTCCACTCCCCACCCACCCACCCTACTCATACACATGTAAAGTCTATAGTTGGACGAGAATGTTGTAATGACTGCAATCGTAATGAAGCACGTTGCCATTGCAAGCACAGAAAGCAAGCTTTCTCAATACTTGGTTTTGCGGCACTAGTCAACAATCTTGAAGTGGAGTCAGGCAGGCCCCTGATTAAATATACCATATAATAAGACCCGGGTATTATGTAGGATTTTCCTTTGAGGAGACCCCCCCAATTTTTTCCCAGTGGTTTTCATAATACCCTAGGGTGTTTTATCCGGGAGAATACGGTAATCGCCCTCAACATCATTCCTCCAGGTGTTCAAGACCCCCCCCTAACTATCTCGTACGATTGTATTCATTCCCCGCCTACCTATCCGCACTGGTCACCTCAGAGTCATCACATCATACCTAAGCAAACAACCTATTTAAGAAGACGCTATGGTATATGCCATGCCATAATATCTTACGGGTGCAGTGCCTACCGAAATGTATATTTTCAGCCCGTACACTTCATTGATGCTCCTGGGGAGCACAGACCCATCAGTGTCCTTCACAAGCCCACACCTGAACAATTTCAGCTCCTGCAGTGCCTTCAGCTCACTCAAATCCCCCGGCAATGCCTCCAGCTGCACACAGCCTGACAGATCGAGGGATCTGAGCCGCGTGAACTGTGCAGCGTTGGAACATAGGGAACGGATGGGGCTGTTTAGAATCGACAGCTTGTTCAGGCAGGCAAGCTGGGTGAGAGAGGCAGGCAGCTGCTCAAGCTGCTCACAGCCAATCAGGTGCAGCTCCCGCAGCCTGGATAAAGCGCCGATGGCATGCGGCAGAGAAGCCAGTTTGAGCGCGTAGCAAACCAAGACCGTGAGGTTCTCAAGTTCTGCCACACTCGCTGGCAGCTCCCTCAACTCGTGCGCATTTACCAGCTTCAGCTTCCGCAGCTGCGGCAGTGCTGACCCGATGTCAGCCGGCAGCCTTTGGAGACTCCACGCGCTGTCAATAATCAGGGTGCGCAGCCGGGAGAGGAACGTCAAGGGGAATGGAAGCTCCTCTGCAACGCCTGCCAAATTCAGCTCCAAATGCTCCAGGTGCGACAGGCTCCTGCTCACAGCGACCCCACACGCCACAGAAAACTCGTTCAGACGGAGCGTCCGAAGCCCCGTCAGCGTGGAGACGTCTGGCAGAGCCATGGCCTGCTCGTGACTCCAGATACTTCCCCAACTCAGCAATTCAATGGACGCCGGCAGGACTAGAGGAGGCCGTATGAGCATGTCACATCGGGCAACCTCCAGCTGCTTGAGCCGTGTCAAGTCGTCCAGCCTTGTGGGCACCGAGGCCAGACATGGGGAGTCAGCGAGAGAGAGAGCTTCAAGGGCAGTCAGGCCCGTCACGGACTCTGGAAGGGCCGTGAGCTGATAGCAGCACGAGACGTGCAGCTCCCGCAGGTTGCTGAGCGACCCCACGCCCTCTGGCAGCAACTCCACGCCGCACAGGTTCAGCTCAAGCCTTGTCAACGACGCGATCTCCGACAACGAGGATGGGAGATGCCGAGATTGGTAGCTGTCTCCCAGAAGCAGCGTGTGGAGGTTTCTCAGGCGTCCTATGTCCGCTGGAAGTGCCACGTGCCCCAGGCAGAGAGTCGTGAGAGCCGTGAGGTAGCAGAAGTCTGCTGGCAGCTCACAGATTGAGTCGCACGAGAGCACGAAGAAGGTCTCCAGCGAGCTGAGCTGGCACACGGAGTCAGGGAGGAAAGCCAGCGGCAGAGTACCCAGAACCAGGGTTTTCAGGGCAGTCAAACTCCCAATGTTTTCAGGCAGGCAGCTGAAGTGCTCGCAATTGATGATTGATAAGGTCTCCAGATGCTCCAGGGAACAGACACCCTCCGGCAGCTCCTCCAAGGCCTCGCACCTGGAAACGGTCAGCTCACGCAGACGCGGCAGCAACTCCGCAATGCTGTCCGGAAATTGCTCCAATTCTCCACAGTCTGGTATCTGCAGCAGTTCCAGACTGGACAATGGCCAATCCGACAGCAATTCGACATCAAACGTGGCCCCGGCAGAGAGTGAAACGCTGGTGATGCTGGGAAGACGACGTACGTTGGCCAGTTGCTCCTCGTTCAACTCTGGGGAGGCGATATGAAGAGTGGTGAGAGAAGCGAGGGTCTCCAGATCTAGAGCTTCTAAGGCGGAAGCGGCTGTTAAAGACAGGGTGTGAAGACGCGTGAGGTGGAAGAAGGAAGCGGGTAGGTGGACGTCCCGATGGAGGCAGAGCAGTGAAAGCTGCTCCAGCTGAGCGCTTCGCTGGAAGAAGCGATCCAGACCAGCCTCGGTGATCGGGTGCTTATGCTTCGGTCCGACGTAGTCTGGATGGTGAGTGATCCCGCGTCCCACGTGGAGAATCTTGAGCTGAGGACAGGATGATGCGAGGTGAGCGAGGAAGGAGTCGTCTAGGGTTTCCACGCTGTCGTCGCACAGATGGAGATGGGTGAGGTTCGGGAAGCACGCGACGGCATTCGAGAGTTGTTGGAGGGAAATGGCTTGTTTTCTTTCGACGAGCAGCGTGGAGATGTTACGCTGAGCTACATCGCGCCAACGACGGCACACCGACGACACGAGGAAGATCTTGGCAGCGGTTGGAATGGCGGAGGGGTACGATACTGGATACGAGTCTTCCTCCTCAGGACTGGGATCTTTGTCTAAGACGATCGAGCGAAGGTACCGTGGTTTCGGCGACAATGAATGCCGAGACCATAACGCGTCACTCTCGGGTTTCCAAGGTGTTGACTCCTCGCAATGCCATAGTATCTTAGCGAGGATGTCGTTGAGGAGGTCGTTAATATGTGTCGCTGTCTCCATCGTTTCCATAGCAGACGAGACTACTAAGCAGCTATATATAAGGACGGAGTTGAAGAAGCCTAGACAGAGTTTGATCTAGGTCTGCTAAACGAGTGTGACGTGCGTGCCTTCCTCGTACGCAACGTGCCTGACGTGGTGGATGCTCTTTCGGGTGTAGGAGAGGGTGACCCGGTTCCCGAACCAGAGTGTTTTTGCTGTGTTTGATTTGTTTCGTGATTTTGCTGCTTTTTTGGGTTGCGTAGCAACCCTTTATATTTGGTTTCACATTTTGGGGATATCATTTCAAAGGTGCTTTTCCATACACTCTTTGGAGCACACATTTGAACTTCTAAGACTTTGTTCAAACGAATGCCTCAAATAGTGAATAAAAACCACTCTTGAATGAGATCCATAAACGTGAAACCATGCACGTGCGTATCTTGTTGAAACCACGAACTTGTTCGACCGTCCCACCTCGTCGATTAATACGGCGGATGGTACGGCCGAGCATAATATTCTGGATTCAACATGAACGAATGCAATTGTACAGATGAACAACAAAGTATGAAATGTAGGTGGATGCTTCAAAATGAATGTTAAAATGCATCATGTAACAACAGAGGTTGATGGGGTCGTTGAAACAGCGAAAACCCGCTGCCCCGAAGACGATTAACAACCTCTAATTGCATACATGACACATACTAACACCACACTTTGAAACACACATCCCACAAACATGAATGCAAACGCACGTAAAAAAAAGTACAACCCATCTAACCAAACGCATTAAAATGCAACCCCACAGTGAAACAAACACAACGAGCACACCCGCACAAACACACACATACATACACAAATAGGATTGATAGCAGACAAAACAAAGAGTTGCAATAAGTTAATTATGTATCAATCACTGCTACTTCCTCCCCCTTTCCGCCTGCCTTCCTCTCCCTCCATCAAAATCTCCTTCCACCCTTTTCCACATTGACTTCGTCTCTCGAATTACCCTCCCTGCTCCCCACAACGCATCTCGCACACCTTGCAAAACAAACAGGTCAAGTAGAAAATGAATTGTAGTCAGAAAACCGAGTGAATTTCAGTGACGAGCATGCACTTGATTGTGAAATAGAACTTGAAAAGCAAGTATGGGTTGAAATATGATAAGTACAAAAGGAAACCAAATTTGACGACTCACAAGTGTGGTTTGAGGCATAGATTCCCTGGGGTCAAGCACACCATGCTGGTGGCTCCAGCGAGGAAGGTGCAACGGGCTGGGCATCGCCATGCTACAAGGTGCTAGAGAGTTGCAGCAAGGTGTCAGAACATATAGCTTACTTGTTTCTGTAGGCTATAGTGGGGTATCCCATAGGGGGTACAACCCAATTAGGGTTTCCTATTTGTACCCATTTCTGACTTAGTCATTCATTTTCCTCTTCTGATTAGTTTCACATGGTATAGAGCTAGGTCCCTCCAGGACCGAATTTTTTTTTGGGCCCACCGAAGCGCGCCCCGAGGCGCGCCCCTTTTTTTTTTAGCGACCCTTCGGGTCGCCCTCTCCTACGCGGCCCCGCCGCTTGCCCCTTACGCGGCCCCGCGCTGGCCCCTTACGCGGCCCCGCGCCGGCCCCTTACGCGGCCCCGCACCGCCGGCTCCTACGAGGCCCCGCGTCGGCTCCTACGAGGCCCCGCGCCGGCCCCTTCCGCGGCCCCGCGCCGGCCTCTTACGCGGCCCCGCGCCGCCGGCTCCTACGCTGCCCCGCGCCGGCTCTCACGCGGCCCCGTCCCGGCTCCTACGCGGCCCTCTCCGCCGGCCCCTTACACGGCCCCGCCACCGGCCCCTTCCGCGGCCCCGCACCGGCCTCCTACGCGGCCCTGCCCCAGCACCTGCGCGGCCCCGCCGCCGGCTCTTACGCGGCCCTACCGCCGGCTCCTGCTCGGCCCCTTACGCGGCCCCGCGCCGGCCTCCTACTCGGCCCGGCCCCGGCTTCTACACGGCCCCGCCGCCGGCTCCTACTCGGCCCGGCCCCGGCTCCTACACGGCCCCGCCGCCGGCTCCTACTCGGCCCGGCCCCGGCTCCTACACGGCCCCGCCGCCGGCTCCTACTCGGCCCGGCCCCGGCTCCTACACGGCCCCGCCGCCGGCTCCTACACGGCCCCGCCGCCGGCTCCTACTCGGCCCGGCCCCGGCTCCTACACGGCCCCGCCGCCGGCTCCTACACGGCCCTGCCGCCGGCTCCACCGCGGCCCTGCCCCGACTCCTACGCGGCCCTACCGCCGTCCCCGTCCCGGCCCCGCCACTTCCCTGCAGCCGGGCCGCCCAACAGCAACAGAGCCGCCCAGCAGCAGCCGAGCCGCCCCGCAGCAGCCGAGCCGCCCAGCAGCAGCCGAGCCGCCCAGCAGCAGCCGAGCCGCCCAGCAGCAGCCGAGCCGCCCAGCAGCAGCCGAGCCGCCCCGCAGTAGCCGAGCCGCCCGGTACCTGAGCCGCCCGAGCCGCCCGAGCCGCCCGAGCCGCCCGAGCCGCCCGAGCCGCCCGAGCCGCCCGAGCCGCCCGAGCCGCACGACCAGCCCGCGCCGCCTGCTGCTGACCTACCCGACTCTCCCATCCCGGTGAGACTTTCAGCTGCTGCCATGGCCACCCCCAATGTTCTCACTTTTGACGCTGAGGGGAGGGCCATTGACTTTGCCGTCTGGATCGAGGACCTGCAGCTGTACTTACTGTGTGATGCGGTAGATGAGGTCTCTCTCTTTGACTTTGTCTCTGGCGCTGTCCCTGCCCCGCCTGCTGATGCTGACTCTGCCGTTCGCTCCAAGTGGGCGACCCGCGATGCTGCTGCACGTCTTGCTGTGCGTCGCCACCTCCCTTCCTCTGAGCGTGCCCACTTTAGTCAGTGCAAGACCGCGCAGGCCTTGTACGACGCTGTAGTTGCGCGCTACTCCTCCCCTTCCTCCGCTACCCTTAGCCGCCTCATGCTACCGTTTCTCTTCCCTGACCTCGCTTCCTTTCCCACTGTTGCTGACCTCGTTACCCACCTCCGCGCTAGTGACACCCGCTACCGCGCTGCCCTTCCTGCTGAGTTCCGCGCTGCGAACCCTCCTCCTATGTACATCACTCTCTACTTTCTCGTCACCCGTCTCCCTGAGTCCCTTCGTGTCGTTAGGGACCAGTTTCTCTCTGTCTGTCCCACCACTCTCACTGTCGACCTCCTTGAGGAGTCTCTGCTAGCGGCTGAGAAGAGTATTGTCGCTGTAGGGGCCTCTCGGGGTGACCCTCGCACCCCCATCTTTGAGGGGTGTGGTCCTTCCCCCCTGCTGCCCTCTGTCGCCTCTGCCGCTGCGGCCGACCTAGTTGGTTTTGAGTCGGTCGGCGCGGCGTCTGCCCCCAGCGGCAGACGCCGCACTGGCAAGGGCAAGGGGGGCAAGGGAGCGGGTGGAGCTCGAGGGGGCGGTGGAGGAGGCGGTGGGGGTGGAGGGGGGAGTGGGGGTGGCGGTGGGGGTGGTGGCGGGAGTGGAGGTACTAGTGGCGGCGGTGGAGGCGGAGGTGGTAGTGGTGGAGGCGGTGGGAGCGGTGGGAGCGACGGTCCTGGTGGGGGCGGTGGCGGTGGAGACGGGGGTGGCGGTGGAGGCGGGGGTGGCGGTGGAGGCGGGGGTCGTGGTGGCTCGTCCCAGCGGAGCGGCGCTGGGGGTGGTCAGCGCCAGCAGCAGCAGCAGCAGCAGCCGCAGCAGCAGACGCAGCAGCAGCAGCGCTCTCGCACCGTCCCCGGCCCTCAGCAGCTCCGTGAGTGGTACTTGCAGCGTCAGCGCGGTGGTGCGCTTGGTCCCTGCCCCTACGTTCTTCGCACCGGTGAGCGTGCAGGGGAGAGGTGTGGAGGCCCCCACACAGCCCGTCGCTGCTTTGGCCGCCTGACCGACGCTTGGCGTCAGCAGTTTCCGGAGGCCGCTGAGATCCCCCGCTGGGGAGAGCTGTCTAGGGCTGGTGTAGCTATTTATGATCTTGATTTTGATGCTATTCTCTCTGCTATGTATGCTGTGACTGGTAGTGATGAGGATGACTGTTACCGGTGTTTCCCGCCCGACCCGGGCATTGGTACTGCCGCGTCAGGTACTAGTGAGGCTGCTGCTCTAGGTGCCAGTGCGTCTGTACTCTCAGGTACTGGTGAGTCCGCCCTCTCAGGTACTGTGTCGGCTTCGGCCTCTCACACCTTCACCCTTGACTCTGGAGCGTCTCGCTCTTTCTTTAGGGACCGCACCACTCTCACGCCGCTGAGTCGGCCGGTTGCGGTGTCCCTGGCTGACCCCTCTGGGGGGCCTGTCCTGTCTCGCTTCTCCACTGTCCTCCCGTGTCCGACGGCCCCCTCTGGCACCCTGACTGGTCTCTACCTCCCCTCGTTCTCGACGAACTTGGTGAGCGGTGCTGACCTCCAGGATGCGGGTGTCCACCAGTTCACCCCAGCTCGTCAGCGGGTGACTCACTGCACTGAGGCGGATACGGGCCGCCACCTGGCTACGTTTACACGTCGGCCAGGGTCGAGCCTGTACACACTGACCACTGCGTCTCCTCCAAGTACTACGTCTGGTAGGGTCCCTTCCTCTGGTCAGGTGTTTGCTGCAGCGTCCAGGTCAGGTCCTGAGTCTGCCCCCTGCTCGTGTCGTCGTCTGTCTCACGAGTCCCTTCTCTGGCACCACCGCCTTGGTCACCCCTCTCTGCTTCGGCTCAGAGGCATGGCCTCGCGAGTCCTTGTGTCTGGTCTTCCCCGGTCCCTCCCTCCCTTTCCTCCGGGCCCTGGCCCTCCCTGTGTCCCCTGTGTCGAGGGGCGCCAGCGTGCGGCCCCTCACTCCTCCCAGTTTCCTCCGACAGAGGCCCCGTTGCAGACGCTTCACATGGACGTGTGGGGCCCAGCCCGCGTCCGTGGACAGGGTCAGGAGCGCTACTTCCTGCTGGTGGTTGACGACTACTCGCGTTACACCACAGTCTTCCCCTTGCGCAGCAAGGGTGAGGTCACTGAGGTGTTGATCGACTGGATCCGCGCAGCTCGTCTCCAGCTTCGGAAGAGCTTTGGCTCTGACTTCCCTGTTTTGCGTCTGCACTCGGACAGAGGCGGAGAGTTCTCCTCTGGCCTCCTGAGTGCCTACTGTCGTGTGCGAGGCATCCGTCAGACCTTCACGCTTCCGGACTCACCACAGCAGAATGGGATTGCTGAGCGCCGCATTGGCATGGTCATGGACGTCGCTCGTACGTCCATGATGCATGCGGCTGCCCCCCATTTTCTGTGGCCGTTTGCGGTCAGGTACGCCGCGCATCAGATCAACCTTCACCCCCGGGTCTCTCGGCCCGCGATGTCCCCAGTCTTGATGTGGACGGGGAAGGTTGGCGATGCGTCGGTGTTCCGGGTCTGGGGATCTCGGGCGTTTGTCCGCGACTTGTCTGCGGACAAGCTGTCCCCTCGCGCTGCTCCCTGTGTCTTCCTGGGGTTCCCCCCCGACGCTCCTGGGTGGCAGTTCTACCACCCCACCTCTCGACGTGTTCTGTCCTCCCAGGACGTCACGTTCGACGAGTCGGTACCCTACTACCGCCTCTTCCCCTACCGCACTCCTTCCCTCCCCCCACCCCCGCTCTTCTTGGTACCAGGTCCCCCCCCGGTAGCCCCCCTCCCCCCTCAGGGTCCTGCCCCTTCAGGTGTGTCCCAGGTAGACGCGGTCGAGCCTGTCGAGGTCACTGGTGACTCTGGTGCTGCTGCTGGAGCTGAGCCTGGGGGTGCGGCGTCTGAGGGTGCTGAGCCTGGGGGTGCTGTACCTGGGGGTGCTGAGTCTGGAGGTGCCGAGCCTGGGGTTGCGGAGTCTGGGGGTGCTGAGCCTGGGGGTGCGGAGTCTGGGGGTGCTGAGCCTGGGGGTGCTGAGCCTGGGGTTGCTGAGCCTGGGGGTGCTGAGCCTGGGGGTGCTGAGCCTGGGGGTGCTGAGTCTGGGGGTGCTGAGCCTGGGGGTGCTGAGCCTGGGGGTGCTGAGCCTGGGAGTGCTGTGCCTGGGGGTGCTTCGTCTCGCCGGGAGCCCCTCTCCCCACCGGAGCTGCGTGAGTGGTTTGCCAGGCGCTGGAGGCGTGCTGCTGGTGCTGGTGGTTCTTTGGCCGCAGAGGGTACTGCTGTCGCTCGTCCCGGCGGTGCTCGTACTTTGGGTGCTGGAGCTGCTGGGTCTGAGAGTTCTCCTGGAGCTGGTGCTACTGAGGGTGTTGGAGCTGAGTCTGCCGTTGGCGGTCCGACTGCCGGTGCTCCTGGTGCTGCTGCTGGAGGTTCTGGAGCTTCTGGTGGTTCTGCTGGAGGTACTGCTGGAGTGGGTGCTCGTGCCGGAGCTGCTGCTGTTGTTCCTGCTGTTTCTGGCGTCGCCGCGCGGCCTCGACCGTACTTCGTTCCACTTCTCCAGCAGGTTCTTGGTCTTACACCTCCTCCTCCTCCCTTAGCGGGTCAGCAGCCTGTCCGGTCACAGCCACAGCTACAGCCTGCCTCCCCTTTGCCTGCTCCTTCTCCCTACGCTGGTCCGACTGGAGGTCTTACTGAGCGTCGTGAGCCTGCGTCTCGTCCTGCGTCGCCTGTTCGTCCTGCGCGCGCTAGCGGTCGCGGTTCGCGTCAGCGTCCTCCTCCTGTCCCTGGTACGCACCGGATGTCACTGCGTCCGTCCACTGCTCCTCTGCGTGCCCCTTTGCCTTCTCCTCCTGAGTCCTCTCTTCCTGCTCTTGCCGACCCGGAGTCGGACTCTCTTCGTGCTGCCAGTCCTACTGTCACGCGTCTCCTTGCTACTGCTGTCACTGACCCTTCCTTCGAGTCGTCTGCTGCGTCTGCCCTTGTCACTGAGCTTGTAGACTTTGCTGCACGCTGTCGTCTCGACTACGCTGCTCGTCTTGTCACTGAGTCTGAGTCCGCCTGTCCTCCGTCCGTCGGGGGTGAGTGTGCCCTTGGCACGGACGTCCTTGAGGACAGGCAGGAGGAGTTCCAGTGTCTGGCCGTCGCTTCACCTCGTCTCGCGTCTGTACTGCTAGCCCCTGAGGGAGACCCGGATGCACCAGACATCCCGACTCCGCGCTCTTACGCGGAGGCGATAGAGGGTCCCTACTCCTCTCAGTGGCAGGCAGCTATGGATGCAGAGATGGCTTCCTGGAAGTCCACAGGCACCTACGTTGACGCTGTTCCCCCTCCTGGGGCGAACATCGTCAGTGGCATGTGGATTTTCAGGGTGAAGCGGCCGCCGGGTTCTCCGCCTGTCTTCAAGGCGCGTTACGTGGCTCGTGGCTTCAGTCAGCGGCAGGGGGTTGACTACTTTCAGACCTTCTCCCCCACCCCGAAGATGACCACTCTTCGGGTTCTGCTGCACGTTGCTGCTCACCGTGACTACGAGCTGCACTCTCTCGACTTCAGCACAGCTTTCTTGCAGGGCAGCCTGCACGAGGAGATCTGGCTGCGCCGCCCTCCTGGCTTCACTGGGTCTTTCCCTCCTGGTACCCAGTGGAGTCTCCGGCGTCCAGTCTACGGTCTCCGCCAGGCGCCTCGTGAGTGGCACGACACACTGAGGACTACGCTCGCGGCACTTGGGTTTGCTCCTTCTACTGCCGACCCGTCGCTGTTTCTGCGCACCGACACCTCTCTGCCGCCGTTCTACATCCTCGTGTACGTCGACGACTTGGTCTTTGCCACAGCTGACACTGCTGGACTCGCCTACGTGAAGTCCGAGCTGCAGAAGAGACACACGTGCACTGACCTGGGTGAACTGCGCAGCTACCTTGGCCTGCAGATCACCCGGGACAGAGCACGCCGCACCATTACCCTGACTCAGTCACACATGGTGCAGCAGGTCCTTCAGCGCTTCGGCTTCACGTACTCCTCGCCTCAGGCCACTCCTCTGCCTACTCGCCACTCGCTCTCAGCTCTGCCTTCGGATGAGTCCGTAGAGTCGAGTGGCCCGTTTGCAGAGCTTGTTGGCTGCCTCATGTACCTGATGACCTGCACTCGACCTGACCTCGCATACCCTCTGAGCATTCTTGCACGCTTTGTTGCTCCTGGGAGACACCGACCAGAGCACATGGCTGCAGCGAAGAGGGTGTTGCGCTACTTGTGCAGTACGTCGGGCATGGGGCTAGTGCTTGGAGGGCGAAGTCCAGTGGTCCTCACTGGGCACGCAGACGCTTCTTGGGCTGACGACCAGGCTACGCAGCGGTCGTCACAGGGTTACACCTTCTGTCTTGGTTCCGGCTCTGTCTCGTGGCGGGCTACCCGCTCGTCTTCTGTTCTCGGCTCCAGTTGTGAGGCTGAGATCTACGCTGGGGCTATGGCTGCTCAGGAGTTACGCTGGCTCACCTACCTGCTGACCGACCTTGGAGAGCAGCCTCGTTCTCCTCCAGTGCTGTTCGTAGACAACAAGGCCATGCTGGCCTTGTGTCGAGAGCAGCGACTGGAGCACAGAACGAAGCACATTGCTCTCCGCTACTTTCTTGCTCGTGAGCTACAGCAGCGTGGACAGTTGCGACTTGCGTACGTGGCCTCTGAGGCCAACACTGCTGATGTCTTCACCAAGGCACTTGCGCCTTGTGATCATCAGCGCTGTTGTACGCAGTTGGGTCTTGTGGCTGTCTTGCCTCACTTGCTCTCCTCTTGACCTTGCTTGTATCTTCACCTATATATACTCTTGCTCTTGCTTGCTTGATTCTTGTATATCTCTATATATGATCTTGCATGTGAACTGGCCTTCTGGCCTTAGAACTTGTGCTCGGAATGCGTGGTGACTTTGTGATCCACCCTGAGCTTTGCTTTGCTTTGCTTGACTGGTCTTGTGACCCCTTGTTCTCCCCCACTTTGCCTATGGGGGTGTGTCAGAACATATAGCTTACTTGTTTCTGTAGGCTATAGTGGGGTATCCCATAGGGGGTACAACCCAATTAGGGTTTCCTATTTGTACCCATTTCTGACTTAGTCATTCATTTTCCTCTTCTGATTAGTTTCACACAAGGCACCGGCAGAGGAGCAAGGGGGCAGCCGTAGCAAGGCATGAGCTCACTGCAGAAAGGCGTGAGCTCACTGCAGCAAGGCATGAGCTCACTGCAGAAAGGCGTGAGCTCACTGCAGCAAGGCGTGAGCTCACTGCAGAAAGGCGTGAGCTCACTGCAGAAAGGCGTGAGCTCACTGCAGCAAGGCGTGAGCTCACTGCACCAAGGCGTGAGCTCACTGCAGCAAGGCGTGAGCTCACTGCAGAAAGGCGTGAGCTCACTGCAGAAAGGCGTGAGCTCACTGCAGAAAGGCGTGAGCTCACAGCCCCATGCTTGATGCTTGAGCCAGCCCCATGCTTGAGCCAGCCCCATGCTTGATGCTTGAGCCAGCCCCATGCTTGATGCTTGAGCCAGCCCCATGCTAGAGCCAGCCCCATGCTTGAGCCAGCCCCATGCTAGAGCCAGCCCCATGCTTGATGCTTGAGCCAGCCCCATGCTTGAGCCAGCCCCATGCTAGAGCCAGCCCCATGCTTGAGCTAGCCCCATGCTTGAGCCAGCCCCATGCTTGAGCCAGCCCCATGCTTGAGCCAGCCCCATGCTTGAGCCAGACCCATGCTTGAGCCAGCCCCATGCTTGATGCTTGAGCCAGCCCCATGCTAGAGCCAGCCCCATACTTGAGCCAGCCCCATGCATGATGCTTGAGCCAGCCCCATGCTAGAGCCAGCCCCATGCTTGAGCCAGCCCCATGCTTGAGCCAGCCCCATGCTAGAGCCAGCCCCATGCTTGAGCCAGCCCCATGCTTGAGCCAGCCCCATGCTTGAGCCAGCCCCATGCTTGAGCCAGCCCCATGCTTGAGCCAGCCCCATGCTAGAGCCAGCCCCATGCTAGAGCCAGCCCCATGCTTGATGCTTGAGCCAGCCCCATGCTAGAGCCAGGCCCATGCTTGAGCCAGCCCCATGCTAGAGCCAGACCCATGCTTGATGCTTGAGCCAGCCCCATGTTTGAGCCAGCCCCATGCTAGAGCCAGCCCCATGCTAGAGCCATCCCCATGCTAGAGCCAGCCCCATGCTTGAGCCAGCCCCACGCTTGAGCGGGCCCCATGCTTGAGCCAGCCCCATGCTAAAGCCAGCCCCATGCTTGATGCTTGAGCCAGCCCCATGCTAGAGCCAGGCCCATGCTTGAGCCAGCCCCATGCTTGAGCCAGCCCCATGCTTGAGCCAGCCCCATGCTTGAGCCAGCCCCATGCTAGAGCCAGCCCCATGCTAGAGCCAGCCCCATGCTAGAGCCAGCCCCATGCTTGAGCTAGCCCCATGCTTGAGCCAGCCCCATGCTTGAGCCAGCCCCATGCTTGAGCCAGCCCCATGCTTGAGCCAGCCCCATGCTAGAGCCAGCCCCATGCTAGAGCCAGCCCCATGCTAGAGCCAGGCCCATGCTTGAGCCAGCCCCATGCTAGAGCCAGCCCCATGCTTGATGCTTGAGCCAGCCCCATGTTTGAGCCAGCCCCATGCTAGAGCCAGCCCCATGCTAGAGCCAGCCCCATGCTAGAGCCAGCCCCATGCTTGATGCTTGAGCCAGCCCCATGCTAGAGCCAGGCCCATGCTTGAGCCAGCCCCATGCTAGAGCCAGCCCCATGCTTGATGCTTGAGCCAGCCCCATGTTTGAGCCAGCCCCATGCTAGAGCCAGCCCCATGCTAGAGCCATCCCCATGCTAGAGCCAGCCCCATGCTTGAGCCAGCCCCACGCTTGAGCGGGCCCCATGCTTGAGCCAGCCCCATGCTAAAGCCAGCCCCATGCTTGATGCTTGAGCCAGCCCCATGCTAGAGCCAGGCCCATGCTTGAGCCAGCCCCATGCTTGAGCCAGCCCCATGCTTGAGCCAGCCCCATGCTTGAGCCAGCCCCATGCTAGAGCCAGCCCCATGCTAGAGCCAGCCCCATGCTAGAGCCAGCCCCATGCTTGAGCTAGCCCCATGCTTGAGCCAGCCCCATGCTTGAGCCAGCCCCATGCTTGAGCCAGCCCCATGCTTGAGCCAGCCCCATGCTAGAGCCAGCCCCATGCTAGAGCCAGCCCCATGCTTGATGCTTGAGCCAGCCTCATGCTAGAGCCAGGCCCATGCTTGAGCCAGCCCCATGCTAGAGCCAGCTCCATGCTTGATGCTTGAGCCAGCCCCATGTTTGAGCCAGCCCCATGCTAGAGCCAGCCCCATGCTAGAGCCATCCCCATGCTAGAGCCAGCCCCATGCTTGAGCCAGCCCCACGCTTGAGCGAGCCCCATGCTTGAGCCAGCCCCATGCTAAAGCCAGCCCCATGCTTGATGCTTGAGCCAGCCACATGCTAGAGCCAGGCCCATGCTTGAGCCAGCCCCATGCTTGAGCCAGCCCCATGCTTGAGCCAGCCCCATGCTTGAGCCAGCCCCATACTAGAGCCAGCCCCATGCTAGAGCCAGCCCCATGCTTGATGCTTGAGCCAGCCCCATGTTTGAGCCAGCCCCATGCTAGAGCCAGCCCCATGCTTGAGCCAGCCCCATGCTTGACCCAGCCCCATGCTTGAGCCAGCCCCATGCTACAGCCAGCCCCATGATTGAGCCAACCCCATGCTTGAGCCAGCCCCATGCTTGATGCTTGAGCCAGCCCCATGCTTGAGCCAGCCCCATGCTTGATGCTTGAGCCAGCCCCATGCTTGATGCTTGAGCCAGCCCCATGCTAGAGCCAGCCCCATGCTTGAGCCAGCCCCATGCTAGAGCCAGCCCCATGCTTGATGCTTGAGCCAGCCCCATGCTAGAGCCAGGCCCATGCTTGAGCCAGCCCCATGCTTGATGCTTGAGCCAGCCCCATGCTTGAGCCAGCCCCATGCTTGATGCTTGAGCCAGCCCCATGCTTGATGCTTGAGCCAGCCCCATGCTAGAGCCAGCCCCATGCTTGAGCCAGCCCCATGCTAGAGCCAGCCCCATGCTTGATGCTTGAGCCAGCCCCATGCTAGAGCCAGGCCCATGCTTGAGCCAGCCCCATGCTAGAGCCAGCCCCATGCTAGAGCCAGCCCCATGCTTGAGCCAGCCCCATGCTTGAGCCAGCCCCATGCTTGAGCCAGCCCCAATGCTTGAGTCGACCCCATGCTTGAGCCAGCCCCATGCTTGAGCCAGCCCCATGCTTGTGCCAACCCCATGCTTGAGCCAGCCCCATGCTAGAGCCAGCCCCATGCTTGAGCCAGCCCCATGCTTGATGCTTGAGCCAGCCCCATGCTTGAGCCAGCCCCATGCTTGAGCCAGCCCCATGCTTGAGCCAGCCCCATGCTTGATGCTTGAGCCAGCCCCATGCTTGTGCCAGCCCCATGCTTGAGCCAGCCCCATGCTAGAGCCAGCCCCATGCTTGAGCCAGCCCCATGCTTGAGCCAGCCCCATGCTTGAGCCAGCCCCATGCTTGAGCCAGCCCCATGCTAGAGCCAGCCCCATGCTTGAGCCAGCCCCATGCTTGAGCCAGCCCCATGCTTGAGCCAGCCCCAATGCTTGAGTCGACCCCATGCTTGAGCCAGCCCCATGCTTGAGCCAGCCCCATGCTTGTGCCAGCCCCATGCTTGAGCCAGCCCCATGCTAGAGCCAGCCCCATGCTTGAGCCAGCCCCATGCTTGAGCCAGCCCCATGCTTGAGCCAGCCCCATGCTTGATGCTTGAGCCAGCCCCATGCTTGAGCCAGCCCCATGCTTGATGCTTGAGCCAGCCCCATGCTTGATGCTTGAGCCAGCCCCATGCTAGAGCCAGCCCCATGCTTGAGCCAGCCCCATGCTAGAGCCAGCCCCATGCTTGATGCTTGAGCCAGCCCCATGCTAGAGCCAGGCCCATGCTTGAGCCAGCCCCATGCTAGAGCCAGCCCCATGCTAGAGCCAGCCCCATGCTTGAGCCAGCCCCATGCTTGAGCCAGCCCCATGCTTGAGCCAGCCCCAATGCTTGAGTCGACCCCATGCTTGAGCCAGCCCCATGCTTGAGCCAGCCCCATGCTTGTGCCAACCCCATGCTTGAGCCAGCCCCATGCTAGAGCCAGCCCCATGCTTGAGCCAGCCCCATGCTTGAGCCAGCCCCATGCTTGAGCCAGCCCCATGCTTGATGCTTGAGCCAGCCCCATGCTAGAGCCAGGCCCATGCTTGAGCCAGCCCCATGCTAGAGCCAGCCCCATGCTAGAGCCAGCCCCATGCTTGAGCCAGCCCCACGCTTGAGCCGGCCCCATGCTTGAGCCAGCCCCATGCTAGAGCCAGCCCCATGCTTGATGCTTGAGCCAGTCCCATGCTAGAGCCACGCCCATGCTTGAGCCAGCCCCATGCTTGAGCCAGCCCCATGCTTGAGCCAGCCCCATGCTTGAGCCAGCCCCATGCTTGAGCCGGCCCCATGCTTGAGCCAGCCCCATGCTTGATGCTTGAGCGAGCCCCATGCTAGAGCCAGCCCCATGCTTGAGCCAGCCCCATGCTAGAGCCAGCCCCATGCTTGATGCTTGAGCCAGCCCCATGCTTGTGCCAGCCCCATGCTTGAGCCAGCCCCATGCTAGAGCCAGCCCCATGCTTGAGCCAGCCCCATGCTTGAGCCAGCCCCATGCTTGAGCCAGCCCCATGCTTGAGCCAGCCCCATGCTAGAGCCAGCCCCATGCTTGATGCTTGAGCCAGCCCCATGCTAGAGCCAGGCCCATGCTTGAGCCAGCCCCATGCTAGAGCCAGCCCCATGCTAGAGCCAGCCCCATGCTTGAGCCAGCCCCATGCTTGAGCCAGCCCCATGCTTGATCCAGCCCCAATGCTTGAGTCGACCCCATGCTTGAGCCAGCCCCATGCTTGAGCCAGCCCCATGCTTGTGCCAGCCCCATGCTTGAGCCAGCCCCATGCTAGAGCCAGCCCCATGCTTGAGCCAGCCCCATGCTTGACCCAGCCCCATGCTTGAGCCAGCCCCATGCTAGAGCCAGCCCCATGATTGAGCCAACCCCATGCTTGAGCCAGCCCCATGCTTGATGCTTGAGCCAGCCCCATGTTTGAGCCAGCCCCATGCTTGATGCTTGAGCCAGCCCCATGCTTGATGCTTGAGCCAGCCCCATGCTAGAGCCAGCCCCATGCTTGAGCCAACACTCTATTATGCACTCACTTCCATACTCACTCACGCCCTCACCTTCGCACTCATCCATGCTCTCTCCCTCACACTCAACCAATCGATCACCCTCACACTACCACACTCTCTCTGTCGCACGAAGCCATGCACTCACTCACACAATCAGGCACGCACTTTCTCACGCACTTGGCCACTCAGTCATTATCACACTCAAACACACATTCTTCGACGCTCATCCACGCACTCATGCTCACACTCATGCTCGCACTCATCCAAGCACTCACCCTCGCACTCACTCAAACGCTCACCTTCTTACTCACCTATGCACTCGCTCACGCACTAAACCATGCACACACCCTGACACCCACGCACTTGCTCACGCAGTCTCCATCACACCCACCCTCTCACTCACTCACAAACTCATCCTCTCACTTAACATTTCAGTCAGCGACGCACTCACTCACTCGGCCACATAATCCGCCTCGCACCTCACTATCGCACTCGACCATACACACATGCTCGCGCTCTTCCACGCATCCTTCCAAGCACTCAGGCACGCACACAGCCATGCACTCACTCTCGCACATAGCCACGCACTCACTCTTGCACTCAATCGCTCACTCACCTTCGCACTTAGCCACGCACTTACACTCGCACTCTGAAAGGCAATCACTCGCGCACTCATCCTCGCACTCACTCACGCACTCATCCTCGCACTCACTCACGCACTCGCCCGCGCACTCATCCAAGCACTTACTCTCGCATTCACGTACGCACTCACTCACCCATGCACTCACTCACGCAATCATCCTTGCAACGAAGCTTAAAATAGAGGCTTTGAGGAGGGGATGGACTCCATCAAAGAAAAAAGGCATGAAATCAACAATTGGTATGCAACGATACAGAAAGGTGTACGTGGTAGAGGACTGTATGGGACATGAAAAGGGAGGGAAACAGCGAAAGTGACAAACGTGAGCAAAAACGAAGCAAGGACGATGCAGCCTTCGCGCTTTGGCGCCAGCGCCTACAGCGATCAAGGCGCCAGCGCCTACAGCGATCAAGGCGCCAAGCCGCCAGCGAGATAGGCGCCAAGGCGCCAGCGAAATAGGCGCCCCGGCGCCAGCGAACAAGGCGCGCCGGCGCCTTGAAGACGCCACGGCGCCTGCAAACAAGGCGCCACAGCGCCTGCGAACAAGGCGCCGTACGGCGCCTGCTAACAAGACGCCACGGCGCCTGCGAACAAGGCGCCACGGCGCCAGCGAACAAGGCGCCGTACGGAGCCTGCGAACAAGGCACCACTGCGCCTGCGAACAAGGCGCCACGGCGCCAGCGAACAAGGCGTCGTACGGCGCCTGCTAACAAGGCGCCACGGCGCCTGCGAACAAGGCGCCACGGCGCCAGCGAACAAGCGCGAAGCGCCTTGCCAACGCTACTACTAGTAGCACCTACCGGAGCAACCGCGGCTGTGGGAGAGGAGACTACTGCTCTGCCAACATTGAACAATTGCTAGAATCAAGAAAGTTCTGATTAGTAAGATCAAGAATCGAGAAGCGAGCTCAGAAACATGACTGAAACAAGAAACTCGGAAGCAGTTGCTTGAATGGTGTTCTACTACCTCCTCACGATAATCGAGAGTGGGCATGGAAAGAGCGAGATAGATGCGCTTCGGGAAAAAACATGTGCAAAGAAACATCATGCGGTGCGGAGAAACATGAGGAAGAATACCAGGCACCAGCGCCAGCACCAGCGCGTTAGCGCCAGCATGTGTGCGCACGTGAAATTCAGCCGACTCAGCTCCATTTCATGTGCAGTTTGCGCCAGCTCCAGAAAGTGAATAACTGACCGCACGTTCTCCATAATAGTGTATAGCAGTAAATCACTTATCTAATAAATAAACATGCTCACTATTCCTCATTATCTTGTGTTCTAGATAAAGACAAAAATGCAATACATATGTAACATAAACTGGATGAAAAATAATATATGCACAACTGCGTTGCAATTATCTTGAGTACGGTATGCAGAAAGTGGTAAATGTAGACGATTAATTGCCTGTCGCGATTGATGTGCAAGAATATAAATTGCAAGGAGACGTACAATTTGGTGCAATAAGAATATAAATTTGTATTTGTCATTATACCGTATAAGCGCATGCGCTTACATTTTTACTCACATATAAGAGCACCCCCCTAAAAAAACACTAATTTTTTATAAGCGCACCTGCGCTTATATCAGGGATATTACGGTACTACGCAACCCTTACGACGTTCATCGTCGAGCCTTGTTTCCGCTATTTTGGTTTCGCTCCGATGCGTTGTGGATCGAAACCGTGCGTGGTCCACCAAAATCAATCTGTTTCGTTCCGCCATGAACCCGAAGCCTCGCCGCCGAAGCACAATTGGTCCGGGAAACGCCGCGTTCGAAAGGGCCGAGATTGTCAAGCAACGGTTCGCCCTTGGCGCGGGTTTGCTTTGCGAATAATCATTTACCACTAATCAAAGCGGTGCAAAACGATTCCGAGCAGTGAAATGAAAAAGCGTACCAGAGCGCACAGTATCACACTAAACCGGTGACACTAAGCAGTGGGCGAACAACACGCCATAATGAACCGAGATAACACACCATCCGCATCTCGCCGTGAAATACTGAATGCCATCTCAACAGAACATAAGGACTCAGCGGAACTCACCATCCAGGCTCTCTCCTTTCGGATCGCGGTTCTGAAGTTCGGACACCATGTCAGCGGTGGGCGCGTCAGTCTGGCTTGGCATGCAACGAAAAAATTCTGGAGATTTGTTTGGCAGACGTGGCGACATTCTTTCGTGATAAAGCATCAATGGTTTCTCGATGCGACGGTTTTGATTTATTATTCCCGCCTGTCGCAGTAGGTTTTCTGCGTCGTCGCTCTTTTGGTTAGGAGTCCCCAGTTCGGCCGATTCGAATAAGCTTGATTGGATGTTAGCAATTCCGGCTAGCGTCAGCCTTTCCCTCCCGACCTTCTCCCGCTCCCCCGCTCCCCCTTGTCCCCTCTTCCCCCCTTCCTCCTCCCCCTTCCCTCCCCCTTCCCTCCCCCTTCTCTCCCCCTCCCCGCGGACTTTCTTGCGGCTGTGTTGAAGTTAAGTTCACATTGCCATGTTCACTCCTTCTAACTTTTCACTTTGACTCACCGAAACGCCGAGTCTCAAATCAATGGTGTTTGTTGTTTTATGTTGTTTAATGCCGAAACACCGAGTCTCAAATAAGACTGAATCACTTCAATACCCCACGTCTCCCTCCGGCTTCCCTGCCTGCATCTGTCTGCAACGATCCACTCGCCCTCTTTGACACTCGCTCTCCTCCCCTCTCTCTCCGTCCCTCTCTCTCCTTCTCTTCCCTCTCCGGCCCTCCGTCTCCCTCTCTCTCTACCCCCCTCTCTCCATCCCATTTCCCGTGCATACCAGCAGGTCTCCGGACGCGCCTGTTGGGGCCCCACAGCTCCGCTCTCAACCGTCCTACATTCAGCAGTACGCCTACTTTCCGCGTCCGCTTACTTTACGTGCATGGACTTTCAATTTTCTTCCGCACAAAGTTCCTCCTCCTTTTTTCCGTTTTTGAAGTGTGGATACGTGATGATTGCTCTACTTTCCTTTCCCTCTAGTTTCAACCACGTTTCCCCGTGTCTGCTCCTGTCAGCCACCCATTTCAGCAGCCACACACACCCGCCAGCACAAGCTCCACCCACCATGAGCAATGGCAGCAGCAGTGCCGTCAACAGCAGTGCCGTCAGCAGCAGTGTCGCCAGCAGCAGTGTCGCCAGCAGCAGTGCTGTCAGCAGTGGCAATTCTGTCAGCAGCGGCAATAGCAGCGGCGACGCACGTGTCAGTGTCGCATCTCCTGCCATCTGCCTACTCCTCCTCTCTGCGCCCAGACGACGTGGTGCGAGTGGTGCTGCGTGGGCCTGTAGAATTCGCCGTGTCAGGCAGCGCTGAGGGGCAGTGCTGACTGAGGGGCAGCGGCGTGGATGGTGGCATGGCATGGCAATAGGGGGCAGAGCCGGGGGCAGTGCAGAAGGCAGAGCAGATTTTTCGAGGGCTTCAGACAAGTGGACAGCAGAGGGCGTGGGCGTGGGCATTGTGAGGAGGTGGCATGGAGAGCAGGGCT